GGGGCGGGCCCCAGCCATTTAAATTTAAATGAAGCCGCGATTATTTTAATCGCGGCTTCATTTCCCTTTTCCGATCTGGCTAATCTACATGCCTCCGTCGAAGGAGGCATGTAGTCTAGACACACCCTAAGAGATTGAGCTACAAATAGAGGTGAATCAAAAGTATAGAGCCCCATTGAATGACATGGAACTCCCTCAAGCTCTCCCACAATTGAAATAAGGGTCGTCTGGAGAGTTGAGATATAGGTTATGTCTAGACTGCAAGCCTCTTTCGAAAGAGGCTTTTTCGAATGATGCATTCAAAAAAGCCTCTTTCGAAAGAAAGCGTCTAGATGACAACCAGTACTTTCAAAAAAGCAAGTCGCTTTTTCGAAAGAGAGCACCCAGGCAGTCTGGATGCTTTCTTTTGAAAAAGCACAGTTTGCATTACATAGCGCCTTTTTTAAAATAATCGTTATTCCTCGTAAAATGAGGTTTTCCACGGTTGAAAAAACTGCGGTGTTCTTTTGATTTACTTTCAAACGAACACAGAAGCAGTCTAGATGCAGGGGAAGTTTTTTCAAAAAAAGGCCACTTTTTCTTTTTTTCGAAAAACCCTGTAGTCTAGACACCCCCTAAATATTTATCACATCAACAAGCATAGAAGACATAAGAGAAAAATCAATACATTGGAAATGAAAGATATTTAGACTTGAATGAAAACATCTAACATGCAGCTAGAAGGTGTAATTCCCTGTGTAGAGGGATGTAGGTTGAACCCCTCTTAAGCTACAGCTTGAACCTCTCCAGTATGGCATCCTTGGGACCTGACCGGTTCTGAACCAGAGAATTTGCCAAACCATGGGAGGTCAATTTTGTCTAGCCGCATTACAGACACAGCCACTGCTTACTGGGCTCTTAGAAAAACAAATGGTCTGGCAGCACCTTAGGGTATGTTTACACTAGGCCCCTAGTTCGAACTAGGGAAGCTAATGTAGGCATTCAAAGTTGTCTTTGCCCTATCTGGACCCTGACACAAAACCAGTGGAAGGGAGCCTTTCCCTGAACTACAAAGGCTACGTCTAGACTGGCATGATTTTCCGGAAATGCTTTTAACGGAAAAGTTTGGCTCTGACTCATCATTCTAAGATGTTCTGGATCACATGGGCCACCGTGAAATCTAGTATGGTCTGGCCTCTTTTTGGTCTCTGCTAACAGGGGCTGGAAAGTTGACCCATGGGAAGTATTGATACAATAAGGTGCACAAGCCAGTCCAACAGAGTCCATTCTCTTTTTAAGTATAATGCAACGTAGCTTAGTCTGGCTGAAGAGTCTTGTCAATCGCTTCACCTACTTTGGTTCATTATATAACAGAGCCAAGAGACCAAATAAGGAATGTCAGACGAGTCTTACTTGTCTAGAAACCAGTCATCATACGTCACAGGGAAAAGGGAAGGTGGGAGGGGGATAGATATCCTGATGATTACCTGTTCCATTCATTCCCTCTGGCATTGGCCAGTGTTGGCTAGACAGATGTTTGGTCTGACCCAGGAGGGCCGTTCTTATGTCCTCAATCTGAGAGACATTCATTGCTGTTTTCTAGGCATGTTACACGATGTCCGATCTGTAAAGGGTTCCCCTTAAATGTGAAATCAAGCTTTACTGAACCCTCTGACCCACCAGGCTGGGCTCCCTCTCAGGGTGTGTATACTCTGCCGAGTTTTTCTGGGATACCAAAGGAATCCCAGAAAAACTCTGCCATGTCCAGGGAACACGTCTGCCCTTCTGAATTTTTTTTTCAAAAGAGCAGATGTGCTTTTCCAGCATCCATGTCAACCTCGTTTTATGAGGAAGAAGGGATGTTCTGAGAAAGGGTTTTTTTTTCCTGACATTTGGCCAGTGTAGAAGGGCCAAATGTCAGAAAAACCTCTTCGGAAAAAAGAAGCGGAAAAAATGGTTTGCAATTTGCGTAGCTTTTTCCAGAAGAGCAGTGCAGTGTAGACATAGCCACACACTGTGCTTTTGTTGCAAGCTGCAGACCCATTCCCAGTCCTAACCTTCCTCCAGCATTCACACAAGTAGGGACGCACCCAGATGTGTGGCTCTCTGACCAGCCTCTCTTTGAGCCAGCAATAGAGAAGTCGGGATGTTCACAAGCTCCCCAGCTTAGGTCCCCAGGGCTGTGCTGTCATGCCCTGCTCGAAAGATCAAGCAGCAGGATTGTGTGATCTTTTTCAACTCTTCCCTCAACGTGGAGATGAACACGCACACTTGTGCCAACCAAGCTGAGATCTTTCCCCAGACCCTTCACTTCAAGGCACACTGGCTGAGGTGAAACTACAAACAAGTTTATTGGCTCCACAAGAGAGATGTAACGTGATAATAGGGGACAGCAGAGTGATGAAAGCAGAGTCAAGAAACAAAACCAGAAAATGAGCACCACTCACAAGAATTCACTTGACTCACCGTGTCTCACCCTGACTGATGATTCCAGCAAACTGGCAGATTCTCAAGGCACAAGCTGTATTTGCCTTGGAGCTTAGGTTTCTCTGGTTTCCATACTCAGGCTAGAAATCACATCCCCTCAGTTCAGTCTTTGTTCCTCAGGTCTTGGCAGGAGTCCTCTTGTCTAGGGAGTGAAGAAGAACCGATGATATCATGCCCTGCCTTATATAGCTCTAGGATAGGGCAGGACCCTTTGTTTCAAACCTCAGTTTCCAGACCAGCCTGTGGAAAAACACAGACATTGCAAGATGGTGTCTAGAGACTCGGGGTCTGCTCACCTGCCCTTGAAGAGTCACAACAACCATTAATTGCAGAGTCTCTGGAGCGTCTCAGGAAAACTCACCTCGGGGGAGAGAAGCTTCAGCTAAGGCCTATTGATTTCCCTAATGGCTCATTACCTCAATAGGTCCTTCCCAAACAACTATCTAGACTGAACGCACCTAACTACATTAGAAATACAGACACATTGTCATTACTCATCACTTCTCAGTACAAACACGATACATGCATAGAAAGGGGACAATCATATTCCACAAATCCTAACTTTTCCAGTGACACCTTACATGACGTGTCTTCCACAAAATGCATTGTAATGATGTGATAATCATATCAAAATGGTACTTAACTTTTCCAGTGACACCTTACATGACGCGTCTTCCACAAAATGTATTGTAATGATGTGAAAATCATATCAAAATGGTACCAGTAGGAAGCTTATGCTATGCACTGTCATCCCATTGCACTTCACTTAGGGTATGTCTACAATACAGCGCTAATTCGAACTATTCAAACTGAGCTGGAGTGGCCACCAGGGAAAGCTGGGGAGGGCTAGCCTCCCACTAGTTCGAATTAAGGGGCTGCACACCCCTTAATTAGAACTAGTAAGTTCGAACTAGGCTTAGTCCTCGTAGAATGAGCTTTACCTAGTTCGAACTAAGCGCTCCGCTAGTTCAAATTAAGTTCGAACTAGCGTTCCGCTAGTCTAGCGCTTATCAAAGTTAATTCGAACTAACGTCCGTTAGTTCGAATTAACTTTGTAGTATAAACATACCCTTACTTTCCCCCTGCATTGAACAAGCAATCATGGTGGGTTTTTTTCTGATATGATTGATACCTAAGCAGGTATTTTGCCTTCCTAAAAAAGATATTTTAACTGTGTTGCTTTTCTTTTGACAGTGCCATTCTAGAGCCAACTGCCCCCTAATCTTGTGCTATTTTGAAACAGGAAAATGCTATTTCAAAATAGTTTTTGTGTCTAGATGCATTATTTCAAATTAGCTTAATTCGCATAAAATAGTTTTTGTGTCCAGATGCATTATTTCAAACTAGCTTAATTCGCATTAACTATTTCAAATTAAGTTACTTTGAAATAGCACTGTAGTGTAGACATACCCAAGTTGGAAATAATTATTTGGAGTACACGGGATAGGAAAGGTGGAGATGGGTGGCTGTGTTGCAAATTTGTGAATGGTGATTGTGATTGTTTCTTTTGAGTGTGTGCAGGGCAAACAACCATCAGCCCATAGCAGACATGGAAAAAAATAACTAAAAAATCCTTGTCGTCAATGCCTGGGCATCTTTCCCTTCACTACAACGGACTTTGGTGCTGGGTCTTTCTCATGGGATACACGATGTTGGAGTACATGAATCAGAATATGATCAAAAAGGGGAGGGCCTCCATTTTGTATCTACGAACAGGACTTGAACTTCTGGGGGCTGGTAGGTGCTAGTGAGCTGATAGACTGGCAGCTTTTGATCTGATGACTTGCATAAACCAGTCCAATTCATACCACCCTTTCTTGAATTAGATTGCTCCCAATACAAGGTTATTCAGGGTTGCTTGATTGTAAATTTCTTCCCCCACTTTGGTTCCTTAGGAATA